GGTATTGGGGAAAAAATAACAATTGACATAGCATTGAATATTTACAAAACAAGAAAAAATTTTAGACACTTTTTATCAATCTGGATCACATTTGCCATTTTCTACCTGCATCCCTGACTCATATTTCTCACAATTCAATTTATATCTCAGGTCTGTGCTTTACACCCATCTGTCCAATAAAAATTTTCTTCAGACTTCTTTGTAATTTGTGTCTCTGCATGTTTAATTTCTTGCAGCAGCACTTGCGGTCGAATTGGCAAATCCTATCAATCAAAAAAAAGTACTTAAACTATAATGGTGCAATATTAATAAAATTTAAATTCATTGCTTTTATTCCTTTTAAAATCTTTTAATAAACACATTGAGTTTGGGTTCTTCAATTTAATATCAATTTGTTTAAAATATTATTTATAATAATGACAATCATAGTTGACTGTTTTTAATTAAACAAGCAATAAAAAAAGAAAAAAAAGAATATATATACCTCAAACATAACCATCCATGGACTAAGCCCTTATTCTTTTTCAGAAAATCTCCTCCTCATGCACAGACGCTACCAAAAAAAAATGTATGGTAAATCATTGCTAGAGATTACAGCCCATGGCTCCCCAAAATTAACACCTTTAATTGTGGTTAACCATAATAAAATTCTATGAGCTGATTGAAAGATTTGAATCATGGGCATATTGGCTGAAACGTACGTAGCCTGGTAAAGTCCTAGGCCTAGAGTATTTATTTTCATCATCACAGTGACACACATGTTAAAAAAAATATGACTGACCTACCGCATATGAAATACGTGTATCTGCATCTTTTGGTTGATACAGCAATACGACCTCAGGCTATCTGGTCAACAAACTTCTTCCTTTAGACAGAGCAGACGTTGCAACATGGAGGCCAAGGTTAAATTTTGGCGGTCTGTTGTTTAAATTAATTGATCACTGAGCCCGACTTTTTGAAACATTCTTCCGATCCCGATCAAATTGTACATTACATTCAGGAGAAACAGAGAACTGCTGTTAACTCCAAGACAGTTTTTATGCACCCAAATTTTTTCGGGGCGCATATTGTTTTTGTCCTGTCTGTCTGTTTAGCTGTATGTCTGTCTGTTTGTCTGTTGTCAACTTTAACCTTCGCCATAACTTTTGAACCGTGAGACTTAGAGACTTCATATTTGGTATGGATACTCCACTACAAAAACACTTTCAACTGACACCAAGGTCAATGACCTTGTGACCATGACTGTGACCTTTATGCTAAAAATAAACTTTCGCCAAACTTCTGAACCGTGAGAGATAGAGACTTCATATTTGGTATGCCTACTCCACTAATTAAGTGCTTTCAAATGACACATAAGACAATGACCTTGTGACCATGACTGTGACCTTTATGCTAAAAATAGCTTTTTGGAACTTTCGCCATAACTTCTGAACGGTGAGAGATAGAGACTTCATATTTGGTATGCATACTCCACTAATTAGGCACTTTCAACTGACACCAAGGTCAGTGACCTTGACTGTGACCTATGTGCTAAAAATAGCTTTTTTCGAACTTTCGCCATAATTTAAAACCGTGAGAGATAGAGACTTCATATTTGGTATGCATACTCCACTAATTAGGCACCTTCAGCTGACACCAAGATCAATGACCTTGTGACCTTGACTGTGACCTATGTACTAAATATAGCTTTTTTCGAATTTTCGCCATAACTTTTGAAACATAGATGATAGAGACTTAATATCTGGTATGCATACTACACTAATAAAGTGCTTTCAAATGACACCAAGAACAATGATTGTGTGACCTTGACTGAGACCCATTTGCTAAAAATTGCTTTTTAGAACTTAATGTTGCCGCCAGGTGCTACTGTGTCTCACAAACACATCTTGTTCTTGATGAAAAAATTCTAAGTCCAGAGCTCCGTATTTTTTCCGGATGAAAAATATTCTAAGTTAAGAGTTCAATATTTTTCCAGATGAAAAATAGACTAAGTCCAATTCTCCGTATTATTTCCGTTTATTTTCCGTATTATTTCCGTATATTTTCTGCTTTTCCGTATTGTTAATTTTCTCCGTATTTTTTTCCACATTTTTTCCATATTAAAATGAGGAAAAAATGCGGAATAATGCGGAAATCTGGAGATCTGAGGTGCGGGTACTTCATTTTATTATCGGAACTCTCTAGTCTCAAAATTATACAAATCAAATGTGCGCGGTCATATATCCGGATTGCTATGCAATGCCATGGTCAATAATACAGCATCTAGTTGCTGAGAAAACTAAAACGGAAATTTGGTATGGACTCACGGATAAACAGGAAGTTGACATTGCCATGGATTCATACCATGAAAAAATATTAATCCCAATTAGCATAGTAATATGGCTATGCCAAAACAAAGAGTGCTAAAATTTCAAGCATCTGCAAAGAGTATAGACCCTAAGAAAATTGTGATGAAAATATCTTATGGGCAGACAGACACACAGATACACAAGGGTAATAGAGTACATCCCCTCTTCTTCATATCACTCAAGGGTACCAAAAAAATGATTGGAGCTTTTCTTATAATAATAAAAAAACCATATGCCATATAACATTATAGGTTGATTATTAGATCATTTCATGGATGTTCAACATTGTAAAAACCAGCCAAGACCACACATGACCCTGAAGGTAAACAACACATTACGCATTTCGTGAACGTGTTTTGCACGCAGATATTTCTTGTCATGGACCAATTACCTGGTATTCATTTATGTAAACTATTTATATTGGAAGTTGCTTCGATTGCGCAAACTAATTGAATGGATTCCAAACTAAAGAATCGTGAACAAAAGATGTTGTGCATAAATATGGCACGCCAAATTCACAAAAATGAGATAAACCTAGTTTCACAATTGATAAACTAGGTTTATCGACTGTAAACTATAGTTTACAAACGTAAACTATAGTTAACGATTCGTTAAGTATAGTTAACGATTCGTTAAGTATAGTTTTCATCTGTAAAACTATATTTAACGGTTGTTAACTATAGTTTACGAATGATAATCTAAGTTTATCTGTCTGTAATAAGCGTTAACAATAGATTTTGTTGATAAACATAGATTCACGTTTGTAAACTATAGTTTACAATCGTAAACTATAGTTAAGAGTTGTTAATCATAGTTTCACAAATCGTGAAACTATATTTATCAGATCGTTAACTATAGTTAACGGTTTGTAAACTATAGTTTACAAATCGTGAAATTGTATTTATCAGATAATCTATGTTTTGCAATCGCAAATGATAGTTTTCGGTGTTAAGTATAGTTTACGGTTGTGAAACATAGATTATCGCGTTAACTATAGTTTGCAGATGTAAAATATAGATTAACTTGTTAACTATAGTTACAGTCCGTAAACTATAGTTTACAGTCGATAAACCTAGTTTCTCAATTGTGAAACTAGGTTTATCTCATTTTTGTGAATATGGCGTGCCATACATAAAAGTTGGTTTACAGTATTTAGTAGCTATAAATGTAGTAGCTGTCAAACTATAGCTCTCTTGAGAAAAAAATAACTCAAAAAAGTTCTATCCGATTGTTCTTCCTAGATCGAGAGCTACATTTATTCCTGGAACTTGGAATGTCTACACAAACACACCAAAAAAAAAACCCCTGCATTTTAATTTATTTGTTTACTTTTGTTCAGTTTAAATTTCGTAATTATAAGAATAACCATAATAAAATATGAAATACAAGAAAAATCACTATGCATCATCACTTTAAGTATTTTATCCATGCATAGAACATAAAAAAGGCAAACATTGTTTTCTACCATAAATTAATGAAACTTTTTAAATCTCATATTTTTAACAATTAAGATTTATAGTTCAAATGATCCAGACAGACTCTTTTCAGACTCTGAATACAAGGAGAATCTATATGCACCATTTGCAAATGTGCCTTTTTGTATTTCACACATAATGTTATATGTATTGATCCTAATTTATTGTGTGTCTCCATTTGAAACTGTATCCCCTAGTAAATCTGTGAGCTTAGTATGATGTGTTAGAACTGTATACTTGGTACAATAACCAGATTGTACCAGGTGTTGTATAGGGAACAGTATACAGCAAAACAAAATTTGTTTTCTGGATCAATAAGGCATTAATTGACTACATATGTCTATCTGTGAATATCATTTTTATAATATCTGATAAGGATGGGTGAAAAAATTCCTCAAAAAAGCATTTTAAAAAATTTATCACAATGCCTGCATGGATACACCCCCCCCCCCCCCCCCCCCAACGACACATCAGAAAATATACAATTTCACTGTGACCATGCAAACATTGTATCTGATATCCAATGTAAAGCCTTCATTTCTTCAATGTACAATGTATTATAGCACTCGATTTGCATTTAAATTTTTTTTATTTTCTATTGATTTCAAGTAATCCTTTTGTCACCACAGCAAGTTCCAAAGAATCATTAAAATTTGATCACGTTTGGGTGCTGCATCAATAATGTAATCTACTTCACAACAAGCAACCTGAATGGAATCCATTAAACTCATGTATACCCTTCCAATCAATAAAAAAAGTATAGATTTTCCTGACATATTCTTTCAAAAAAATTCAGAAACTGTATCAATATTAAAGGATGATTAAAAAAAAATGCCTTTAGGTAAAAGAATGAAATCTTGGTTTCATTTCAGATGGGAGCACATATGTATAGGCTATATGCGAAAAATTTGCAAAATTTCTTTTTTTTTCTAAAGGGAAAATTGTATGTTTTAAAACACTAGTTAGTTAATTTTTCCTTGAAATAAAAATACTGTATTTGTATTTAATTTTTACATAATCTGGCTTGACACCACACTGTATCTATTTTAACTGATTAAAAATAATATGAAGCAAAACATTGTTATAATCTAAAAACAAAATAAATTGAAGAAAAATTCAGTAAAAGAAAATCTATTTTGGGGGATTTATATAATACATGTAGGTTGTTAATTATTACCGTGTTGTAATCAGAAGCAGATGACTCGGCATCACTCATCTTGGTTACAGAACGCTACGTCTGCTAATCCCAATCAAAAACTGTGGAGGAAAAATCTACTTCCCACCTGCTCCCTGGCTCTCAGGTGTAACTAAGGTTTACTAATCAATTTTCTATGAAAAAGATTACAATGTGTCCCCTTGTGTCTTCTCACATTCGTTGATTAAATGATAAATACTAAACACATCTTCACAACTTAATTAATCCACTGTTGGAACATCATCCAGCATTCAAACTAAGTTCTCTCCCACTTTTTATCTCACAGGTATGCTAAGCTTGCAGCAAAGTTCATAACTTCAGATAATACATCTTTTCCAGAAACTTTTCAGATAATTCACTAAAAACTCTTTAATATTCCAATATTCTGACGTTTTTCCCCCTCTCTCCTATGTCTTTTGAGTGAACAGATACCTATAGTTTGGCTGTCCAGAGCCACATGATACAAGAGCTGTAGATAATACGTCTCAATCACGCATGGGGGAATTTAAACAGCAGCTACTTAGCCAGCCAAACAATATAGTAAACACTGGATAGACATTGGATACAGTGGCAGTCATGTCAGCCCAGCCCCTTAATTAGTCGCAATACACAAAAACACATGTCCAAAAATACCAGCCTCAGTGTCTATAGTGCCAGTACTAACATATATACTTTGTGTGTTACCCCCAGCTACACAACACAGTCTATATTGCATCAATACAGCATCAATAATCACCATTTGTCTACAAGTAATTTTAAGTGCAATATTAGAGTTGGTTAACCATGCAACTAAATATACATTTTCACCTTTAAAACATTGCTCTTGCCATACATCAATACCTTATTTAATGATGACCTACTAAATATACACGTGTACTTTACATTTGCTGATTTTTCTCTGAAATTCCAGTAGCTAGCAAACTATTGACGAATTTGAAGAAAAGAATATTGAGTATTTTCTATTGATTTTAGTAGTGCGGGTGTAACAGCAATTAAATACAACACCAGCATTATATCAATTTTGATGTTTGTGAGCTCGGAAAGTGAGAAAATTAGATTAGCAAAATGATAGATTCATTTATTAGCAAACAAGCACACGTACATCTTGTTCAATATTTAGTGCAAGGCCTCTATTATAATTTAGTAAAGAAATCCAGTGTTCAGACAAAGACTGTTTTGATATTTGAATTCATGCAGAATTATATCTGGGCACTCAATCAATAAGCGAAATCGACTTTAAACATTAAAGCCCTTGTTGCGGAAACAGACACTGAGACTAGCTTATACATTATTTTCCAGGGTTATCTCCCCTTAGAGAAAGTCAATTCATTCCCAATAATCATTTCTCTGGCACTGTATCAGCATAGTTACAAATTGATAATGGCTTTTTCCATATCACCAGTGATCTATATGATTCTTTTTCCCTCTCATCTCTTTCGTAATCCCCCTTATATTATCCAGAAATTCTTCATTTTGAGATTAAAATGATCCCCCCCCCACTTAAATTACTAAAAACATAATTACAGCATCTTTTTTTTTCTTTTTCACTAATCTGTAACTGAATCTATTTAAAAAATAATTTTGTAAATGACTTCTGGTGTAATGGAGTGATGGAAATTACTGCATAGTTTAAAAAAAATTAATTTTGAAATTCTTAAATAAAAACATATATATATTGAACTCTCACAATTCTGCAACCTACACACTTGAAATGTTTCTGCTAGTCTTCACCCACTGGCTTCTGTCATATCAACAACTGATATGGTTCATGAGGATGCCTTGATAGATATTGTATATATATAGCTACATGTAACAGCAATATACAGATGATCTACTGGATAATGGTATAGGTAATACACTGTAGGTATACATGAGGTGCCTGGTTTATATTGACCTGGATGGGTGTACAACTGATATCATCAAGATGAATTACATCATCAGTACAGTGGCTGGGACGGCATATACTGGGTAGATATCGAAAGTTATATCAATTTTACAATACAGCTGGATAAATTCAGTCAAATTCAGAGAGTATAATTACTGAATTTTAAAACAGTGATCCTTCAGATTTGAGTCACAGACCTTTAGATTGCTTTAGTACAATTCTCTGTTATCCTTGGACTTTCAGTATGGCGTGGATAGAAATTCGGGCAAATGTCAACAAGTTAGCAATGATCCAATGACAGTGCTTTGTACGGCAAAGAGATGGGGTGGGGCTTCAGTCGTCTCATCGTTGTCAACAATTTAAAGTTGCTATAGTTATCAATTTCTTAACCAAAGAGAATCTCGAGAATCTTTTCGCCATTTCAGAGGCATTAAATTAAAATTGGGCTCAATATTATGGTCCTAAACTTGACCAAACAAATTTCAATCCACACAATATTGACTTCAACATCACTAAATTGCATTAAAGAAGAATTTACACCCCTACCCCTTTAAGAAAAACACACCATAATTTGAAAAAATAAAATCTCTGAGTCGACACTATAGGAAATATAGGAACTTTCAAAGATGTTTATTAAATATTTTCTGACCCAGTTACTGGCTTACTGCTCATAAAAAAATTCAAGATTAAGTTTTTTTCTGTTTTCATTATTTTCTACATTTTAAGGATTGTGTTCCTTCATTTGAACATACTCTTCTATGAAGGTTTTATACTACCCTATAGGCCATGCAAGGCCATAATAGGTAAAAATAAGTAAGTACACTGTTAGTATGCTTTATGGCAATATTCTTTGAATTTGGTCCACAAGTTCTGGAGTAGAAGTTGAAGATGGATAGACACACAGCCAGACAAACACCGGGTGAACAGAAAATCTCACTTAAATCTGGTTCAGGTAAGCTAAAAAGTATAATTTTTTAGTTAAATCCTCCTTAAAGAAGAAAATTAAATAAAATTGTTTGATTGCCCTCTCCAGACTAACTGGCTAAAATGGCCCAACTCAAAACTTTTTTAAAGCAATTATTTCTTTTAAGTACTCCAGAAAAATAGAATTTAAAGAAATTAGCATTTTAATTGAAATTTTCCAAGAAAAAAAATTCTCACCTACCTGCTGACCCAATTTTTTCAGACCGAATTGGTCTAATTCAATTTTCTAAAGGTGGTCTAAATATTATGGAGTATGTTACAATCAGCCCACCCCCCTTAAAAACAAGCAAAATACAATAACATAAATACCTGCTTTTCAATTTCAGACACAGAGAATTTTAAAAGTCCCATCCTTGTCCTTTAGAATTTAATTGTGCCTTAATATTCCTATTATGGTAATGGATGTATATCAGAACTGAACACACAATTTATTTAGAGCAAATTTATATTAATTCATGTCACATGAATTATGTCACAGTAGAGTGCTGTCATACAAAAAAAAAAAAAAACATTTTTGACAACCACAGAGTGCAACAAGGAAACAAGGTAATTTGCCCTGAAAACTTGTGTCAAATTTTCTGTTTGATAGCTACAAAAATTTGCTTAAACTTCCTGGAAACGGTAATGCTTTATGTATTGAACATTGTCAGAATGTAAAACTTGAAAGCAAATGATGTCTGTAAAAAGTTGCAAATAAAAAACACATTACTGCATTTGCTGCGAGCCACGGAATTTATAATGGCTTATTCATGACCATGATTCCATAAAAAAGAGAGTAATATTTGTGGTGTAAATGATGGTATTTCATTTTAAAATATTTCACAAACAGGCTAATGACCTTTATAGTACAAGAATCATAGAAATATATATGTACATGAAATAAAATGGCACAAATGATGACTGAATTGTAGTGCCTTAATATAGTGTCATAATATATCAGTTGTTAATTAGTTGTCAGGAGTACAGATTGAAGGCAATTTCAAATTTGCAAAGTAATACACTTTAGCTTACACACAGTTGTAAATCATCTAGAATTCTGCTGTTTATATACTTAACATAAATCTGTTTGTCAGGATGGAAAACCTGTCTGAGCTAAGCTGAATTTAACTTCTGTTGCAGAGAGAGAGAGGGGGGTTAGGGAGAGAGAGAGAGAGTTCTTGTAAAAATTTGTTTCTGTAGTATTTATTTTACATATTGTAAAAATCACTTTCAGTGGTAGATGAATATGGGAAAAATATTTGCTTCTGTTTGAAGGGGAATAACTCTACTTCGGTTCTTCAGAAACTTTTATTCAATTTTTTCAAAGATTAATAATTAAAAGTATATGAGAGTAAAAAGGGATGCTGTATATCAACTTTCCTTTCCAGATTTATTCTTTCATTATATTTTCATGGAAGTTTTTCTATCAGAATTTCTCTTTTATGAGCAATTTTTATAGTCTAAGAGTAATATATATGTATTTTCCAAGTCTGAAAAACTAGTAAGGACAATCTATTTTAGCACTGTTCACAACTTCTTGTAGAGAAAAAACCTTTTGATGTCTTTCTTTCAATATTTCATGATTATCGCTGTAAAAAATAAGCACTAATAAAAGATGAAAGCAGTTAGAGCACCAGGAGTACCCTGTACTGTAGTATGGAACAGCCACTGTGAACACCCCCATGCATCAAGTATTCATGGGTTAGCTACTCCTATATATTGTTCAGTCTAAGTATTTCATGGATTAGCTACTCCTACATCTAGTTCAATCTTAGTATTTCATGGCTTAGCTACTCCTACATATAGTTTAATCTAAGTACTTGGTAAAATGATGAAAAGAAAATTGTCCTATTGATTTTAATTTTTAAAGAGATCATGAAGTAAAATTGTGAAATTACACAACTACCAGTACCACCCCTGGACACAAAAGTAATACCTACACAGTGGTACATGTACTTAGAGTCAAATAAAACCATTAAGTGATGGCCAGTTACTCAAATAAAACCAACAAAGAATGAAAAGTCAAAAAAAACTTAGGACTAAGCAAGCAAAGCCTCTACAGTGTTAAACCTGCTGCCCCCTAGACATGTACTGACTTGTGACTACTAGTCATACACTGAGGATTGATTGATTGTATACTGTTTAACGTCCCTCTCCAGAATATTTCACTGATATGAAGACGTCACCATTGCCGGTGAAGAGCTGCAAATTTAGGCCTATGCTCGGCACTTATGGCCTTTGAGCAGGGAGGGATCTTTATCGTGCCACACCTGCTGTGACACGGGGCCTCGGTTTATATGGTCTCATCCGAAGGACCGCCCCATTTAGTCGCCTTTTACGACAAGCAAGGGGGTACTGAGGACCTATTCTAACCCGGATCCCCACGGGGCCATACACTGAGGAACTTGAGATACATACAAACTTCAAATGTGTGACCCTGCATGGTTATTGCTGCCTAATCAAGTAAGACTTAAACTGCTGTCCCCTAGACATGTAATGACTACAACTTGTGACCCAGACTAGTGACTGTAAGTCAAATAAGACTTAACTGCTGACCCCTAAACAAGTACATGTACTGACTACAAACTTGTCACGCAGACTAATAATTCCAAGTCAAGTAAGACTTAAAATGCTGACACCTAGACAAGTACTGACTACAAACTTGACCCAGAATAGAGACTGCAAGTCAAGTAAGACTTAAATACTGACCCCTAGACAAGTGCATGTACTAACTACAAAATTGTCACCCAGACTAATAATTGCAAGTCAAGTAAGACTTAAACTGCTGACCCCTATAGACAAGTACTGACTACAAACTTGTCACCCAGACTAATTATTGCAAGTCAAGTAAGACT